GTTCTGACAAGGTTGCATGATTTGACAGGGTGTGGACGAAATGTTGCAGGTGATGCCAATTGTATTCGATGAACAAGAAGGTGCGATAAAAGTCGATACCGAAGAGGATGATGTTGAAGATGAAAGTAGAGTCATTGATGAACTGGCGTGTGTTGTTAAGTCTGACACATTCGTAGGAGATATACCTTGATGTGAAAATGTGCTTATTTGGGTTGATAGTGCCGTTGAAATTTCAAAGGTTGATGTTTTCTCGATTGTCGAAGTGAGAACTGTTGGTTGAGTTGTAGAATGATCTACGTATGTGAGTCATTTTGAAATTGTTAAATTCTGCTGCATTGATCGAACTGTTTGATACTTACTACATAGGTCATTCGACAACAAGAATTTTAGGACGCAACGAGCGCCATAATCCGTAACATAGATGTTGCCATAGCTATCGAAAGCCATTCGACGAGGATCTGACAAGTGAGTGGACGATAAAACACCTCCACTGCATCCGATGATGCAATGAAAACCATTTCGACTTGATCTAATAATTCGGTTATTACCACTATCGACAATAAATAAATAATGATCAAGATCTACGAAAATATCACTAGGCCAATTGAGTGTAATCGTAGGATTTGGTGATGAGTTTCCTGCAATCGTGATTCCTGTCTGTGCTCCAAATTGAAATAGCTGAATTCGATTGTTTCCGCAATCAACCACGTATAAATCGAAGTTAGTATCAACAAAAATACCGCGAGGGTTATAAAGTGTGCTACTTCCTGGGACGTCTATAGTTCCTAATGTACTGTCGTACAGCCATCGCTTTACAACCTTATTAATTAGATAGACGGAACAATATAATGTATCATTAATATCGATGAAGAGACCGGAACAGTAAGAACTAACGGTCGTTGCAGAAGCACTGGTACTTGTATTGAAATTCCATTTTTCAACCTTGAAGTGTGAAGCACCATTATCAATGTATACATCATTATTCGTGGATACAAAAACAGATTTTGGCTCATGCAAATTATTTTATATAGATGAATAACTGTTCGAACTATTAAACCAAATAAAGATTTTATTTTTGTTCGTATCCGCCACAAAGATTGAGTTATTAGTAGTAATAAATATACCAAGGGGTCCATCCAATGAGGAACTACTAGCAAAAGTAATTCCAGTTGAATTCCAAGTCGTACATTGATTGAAGCTATGTCGATTGAACGAAGTATCTAAATTAAAATTAAACACATTTCAGTATAGTTGTCAGAGAATTTCTTCATCATAGTATAAAACACATTGGGTGAGAGTGTGCTAGAAGATGCACATTGAACGGCAGAAAAGGTAGTAAATATGATTATTTGTTTCTTATTTATGAATGTGGAGAATATAGATTAGATATATACCTGTTGCTTGTCCAACGACGAATAGAACTGACCATAAGCTGAAGTATCTCGATGACATTCTTCAAATTGAATCGACGAGAATGTTCTATTTAATTGTGATAGAAGTCAGGCTAATGCACTATTTTTGACTGCAATTGACTTTTCATTTCTGATTTACTTGCCCATTTTTTATTTATTTCAATAGCCGTGACTTTGATTATGCAAACGTTTAAATTTATCAATAATCAAGTAACAAAAGAAAAGTAAATATGCAAAACAACGCTCCGAGAAAATTCTAGTCTACAGAAATGGTAAAACAATGATTTCATGACTTTTCAATAAATTACACCCAGCGCTGGCTAAAAAGAAATTCAACAAAACTGAGTATTTGAATAAACTATTTCTTTGTTTCACTGAATAAATGCTATTTATTCAAAGTAAAATCAGATTTCTGTGATTTTGTGCCACTTTCAAGATTTGTCAAGAAGTTGAATCGATTCATTATTCAACACTTCGTTTTCTATAATTCCACTGGATCTCATTCGTTGATTGAGCTGAACAGATGTGATCGGCGAAGAATTTCTTATCAGATAATTGATCTTTTCCAGGGATAAACCTCTCGTTTCCCAAACACAAAAGAATCCAAATAATACACAACCCAAACAAGTCGTACCCCAGATGAAAAATACATCCGTCCCCAAATTGCCCTTGTCAGCATCAATCAAATATGGCGTAATACAACCGAGCATGAAGTTCACCAACCAATTCGACGCAGTCGATAACGACATGCACTTCGCGCGAATGCATGTTGGATAAAGTTCACCTGTGATAACAGAAGTCGATGGACCCCATGTCGAAGCAAAGAATGCAATGTAAATACAAACGAATACTATGAGCAGTTTTTGTTTTGTTTCATTGGATTGTCCAATGAGAGCGATGCTATATTCACAAAGACACATTCCACAAGCGCCAATTATTAACAATTTGCGTCGTCCGAGTAGATCGATGAGTAACAGACCAGGAATGGTCATGGTGACATTCACAAGATTGATGATAATTGTTAGGAGGAATGGGTGAGCCATGCCGGATGAATGAAAGAACGTTGTTCCGTAGTAAAAAATGAAATTGATTCCGCTTAATTGTTGCCATACTTGAAGAAATATTCCTCCTAAGGTTCTCCAGAGTGTTTTGTCTGGTCCTAGCTGAAAGCAGTCAAGATAAGTTCCAGATTGTTGTGCTTTCGCTGCTACTGTATCGACGATCATTTCTTTTATATGATATGTCACTTGAGGATCATCGATTTTTTTCGAAGTCAACCGAGATTGAGATTGATAGGCTTGATCAACATTTCCTTTTAAGATTAAATATCGAGGTGATTCTGGCAATAAGAACATTCCTATACAAAGAATAGCTGTCCAGAGTAGTTGAAGACCAATTGGGATACGATATGCAGCTGAAGACGTTCGGTCTTTTGTTTGATAATTGACAACAGCAGCAACGAATAGCCCGATAGTTATAAACAATTGATAAGTCGATACCAGAGCACCACGAATCTGTTTCGGTGCACACTCGCTTTGATAAATTGGAAGAATACAGGAAACAATTCCAAGGCCAAGACCAGTGATGAATCTTCCGAGAATAAATACTTGAAATTGTTCTATGATTATTTGAAGTATGACACCAACGGAAAATATAAGATAAGCAAGAATTAATCCTCGACGTCGGCCAAGATAATCACTTGAAGGATAACCAAGTAGTGCACCGACAAATGTACCCGCTGATAAGATTGACACAATCAAACCTTTATCGCTCGATGCAAGAAGATAGGTTGTTGTATTTCCTTGTCTATGGCCATACGTTTGCAGAAAGTACGGTATATTGATAATTCCGGATATTAAGCCAGTATCGTATCCATAGAGAAAACCACCTAATGCCGCAAAGATAGATACAAATATTGCCATGGAATTCGAACGGAGGCTTTCCATCGTCTATATTTTATAACGAGTATTTTTGTTTGAGAGAGAGAGCAGGGAAGGTATATACATCAATTGACACGTGGTTTCCTTTTCTTATATCTTCTATGAAGCATGACGCTGATTCGATACTTGATGATTCAAAGCAGTCCATAGTATACCTGCGCTTTATTATTATAAGCATGACAGAAGAGAAATAACGACATGAATACTGCGGAAAGATCGAAAGAAATATACGATAGGTTTATAAGATTCATTGTTTGATTAGTTTTCATGCAAAAAACTCCTTACGAATGTGCTTCTATTCGTGAACACTATTCTATTTTGAATGTCATGTTGTCCAATTCTAAACAAGAAAATCTATGTGGAACTACACATCCTTCGGAAAATAGAGCATGTATTCTTGTTGAGTTGCTGTTGTTAATATTTTCAGTAGAATGATTGCTTTGTCTCCATCTTATTTGATGCTATAGTTAAGAAAGTTTCCTCTGCTCCTTCGTTTTGTTGTGTCAATCTGATCAAGTGATACCTCTATTCCATCAGTGTTGAAGAGCTTAAAAGTTGCATAAGACTATGTATTTTTGTGGCACATGATAGAAACCGTTCAAAAGTAGAACTGTTTTACAGAGAATTCAGTAACTAGATGTCCAAGACTATAGCAATTCGTTCTATTTAAATTTCACAATGATAACTACGAGAAAAAATTGTTTTTTTAAAATAAATTACTCATCGTAAACGGTAGTGAAGAACTGAACTCCGTTCGCTTCGAAAAAAAATTTGTCCTTGTGTTGCGTGTAAACTTAACTTACCACATTCTCAGCGATGCAGATGGAAATTTCGCAATATTTGCTTTTAGATATGCTGTCATGAGTGCGATAAAATTGCGCAAGTTAAGTTGAGAGTATAAAAGTAGAAGAAAGATGCGACTCTATCGTACTGAGTATTAAGTCTGACTACAACTGCTGTAAATAACTATCTCTAGAAGGTAACTATAATCCTAGAAAGTGCTCAAATCACATTTGATTTTATTGATGTGATGCAGTCTTCTTATATTTAGACAAGAACATGGAACAGTCTTCGAGACAAAAACACTTCGTGTGTCAATCAACAAACTGTAATAATCGATGCGGCAATAAGCATACAACTCATTGCGGTGCTGTTTCTAATCGACTTCATTATGGGTATGGCAAACACTACAAATGCGACAAATGCGGTATTGATCGTCATCGACGTAATGGTCATCGCGTTTATACTTGCCAAAAATGTAACCATTTATTTTGCTATCGTTGTTGTTTCAAATAAAACCGAAGCAGAATTATGCTAAAAAAAAGTTCAGTTGAGATTGAATGAGATTAAAACAGACACCTACAATATCATCATGCTTGATGAACAAGAATACTTTATTTTCAGAAAAACGTGACTAAGCTGCTTCCTTTGTCATTGTTTTCACTAACATGATATCGAAAGAGAAAGTAAAGAGCTAGAGCGCAGAGCACATGCCATAGAGCATGACCTTGAAACCATGATGTTGGAAAGCATAACGGACGACCCGTATCCGACAGAATCCAAATAGCAAATGCAAGTACAAATGTAATCGCACTAGCGATGCCCCATCTTTTCTTGATATTTGATTTGTGATAGAAAACAATGAGCAGTTCAGCGATAAGAAATAAAACAAGAAAAATTGCTACCAATAAATTCGCTGGTCCACCAAGAACTGGAAGGTAAATTTGACATCGTGATACTAATTCGCAAATCACGACAATTAAGACGAACACAATAACGAAATAGATCTTGTTCATATGAAAGAGTCGTTGTGTACTATACGCGACTAGATNATCATAAAACTTTTATCCTCTTCCAAGTGTTGATCAATGTAATTCTTCGCATTTTCATGCTGAATAATCATCGTTGTGGAGGGTAGATACATATTTCCATACCAATGGTCACCGTGACTACTTGTATTCACAGCAAACAGAATCGGTTTATCTCTTGATAATTTTCTACTTAATTCTTGTGCTTGGTGATTCAAACGTTGATTTAGGAACGTTTCGATCAACAGAACACCGTGCTCGCCAATAATCAATCCACCACTCGTAGCTGCTGCACCACCAGTCGCATTTAACTGTTCAGCATCTTTGGCATAGAGAGCATAGACACCATCGGCCAACTTTACACTTATCATTTCTACTTTATTTCCATCCCAAACGGGTTGTTTCTCATCGTCCTTCACTGATTGAACAACTTGATTTTGACTGTGATTACCTACAGAAGACAAGATAAGAAAATTAACCAGAACGAACATAAATTTGAGCGATATCTACCGTGTGTACACATAATTTCTGTTTGATTTGAATATACTCTTTGGTACAGCTATTTATAATATAGCAATCCAAATGACGATGCATTTTTTTCTGTTATTGTCATTTTCTGGGTTAAAACACGATGATAAGGCATATTTCAAAAATAGGGTAATACTACGTTTTAGTGTAAACAAACATGAGTCAACACGTCGCATATTACGTTGCTTATTATTTGTTCTGTTTATTCTACTGAATAGACCGCTCTTGAAAAATACAGTGCGAGTTTAGCTACAATAAACCTGTGTGTTATTCAGGTGGTTACTATACTGAAAATCAGTGTTGTTTTTTAAGTGGTTCAAATAGTGTTTATAAAGATCTCTGGAATTTGCATCTCCAACCAGTGTGAAATCAGTCGCAATGATATTCTTTCGTATTCCGCAACAAATGAACGATTTGAACACATTAAAGAAACTCATACTTGTATAATTTCCCAGAATTGCAATACCTTTTGAATAGATAAATTCAATAAGAGACATTTTCAAGTCGTGTTCTTACCTAAGGATCGAAAATTATAACTAATACAATGTGCACCTCGAAACATCCATCCTCGACCTCGATAGATTTCGGAATGATCATTCTTATCGTTACACATAAGAAAATTATAACCAATATCAGCCCAACCTCGAATATCTATTTGGAAATCCTGAAGATCTCTAATCGCTTTGATGCAATCCTGTTGGCTCACAACGTTTTTCACATCTGCTAATTGTCTTATGACAATATGTGTGACTGGTACAATTGTCAGATTCTCACGTGCAATATATGGGCGTGCATTCCAACTAGTCCGGTTCAGTATTCTCGGACAGTCTATACAGGGAAAAAGTTAATCACAGGTATATGATGAAATGGTACATTACCGAATGGCAATTGATACTCAAAGCGATTGATTTTCTCTAATAGTAATGTTGAATTGTAATTTGGATTGGGTTTTTTAATAGCGAAAATTAGAATAAGTGTAACACTTAATGCGATCAGAACGAGGACAGTTAAGATTGCAATAGCGCCATAAAGTAACGTTCGCCGGCGCTTGAATCTCGTATAAGCTTCAGCATCTTTGATATCATTCTCTGAGGACAAAACTGTTAGTAAACGCGATGATTGCTCATCAAGTTTATCCGGATCTTCACATTCTTCTAATTCGATTTCAATGGAAATTGCTACTTGTGGATTATCGATATAATTTCGTTTGATGGATGTTATTTTAAAAACACTGAATGGAATAATTAAAACTTCTTTTTCATCGGGTCTTGTCGATAAATTTTCGATATTAATCGCTGTTAAATCTTGTTTTACAACATATTGACACACACATGAATATAGCAGTGCACAGTGATCTTTCGGTGTATGTCTCATTTGTGATTGTTGTCCTTCGCCGGCGAACATTTCTGCAACTTGTCTGTCAAGCGATGTTGAGAGAAAAGCTCGGTTTAATATATGATGATTGATCTGATATTGTTCTAAATCATTCGTTGTTATTCGCATTCCTCGATAACATACACCTCGATATTGATATTGAGGTAGATTTGGATGGTAGATTAAAAGCGTTACGAGATGCACAAGACAATTGACAAGACGATAATTTGATGAAAATGTTTTTGTTTGATCGAAGTATTCCAAGATGTACAAAGCTAAGTCTTTGTTTAGAAAGTGATAGAATATGTTGGTTAATGTGTATGCTTTGATAAAATAGGTTAGATAATCTTGTTTGTCAATTGCTTCTTTGAAATACGATTCGATCGTTTCGATTTGTGCTCGAAGTGTATCATCTCTGGCATTGTCGAGTAGATACTCGTTTAAATAGTAATGAATGACTTCTGCTAATAACTTTGATACTAGAAGATGATTATCATAGGTTTTATAGACATCGATAAGTTTCCGAAATTCTCGACGTTTACTTAGTAAATCATCACCGATCAATGACCATTGAATAAAATTATAATCGTTATTGAACGGCGGATTTTTGTGTTCGAGAAACAATTGTTTGATTTCCTCGACATGTGTTTCTTCATACGCTGTTAAACTATGTCGTAAATTTCGTATTGAATGTGTCGCGCCGTAATCGAGTAGAATCTTGACCATATCGCGATGACCATAATAGCAAGCCACATGTAAACATGTCGAGCCGGTGACTGTATGAAGTTTATTAATCAAATTAATATTACCAATAAATGGTAAAATTCTTTTCACTTCTTCAAGTTCATTTCGTTTACATAACTGGTATAAGAAATCAATAATATTTGATTCATTTTCATCGTTGTCTGATGGTAAGATTGAAAGCATGAGGATGAAGAGAAATGAGACAAAGAATTGATGTGCTTTTTCGATTTGACATTCTCTTTATATATCATAGAAATCTTATCTATTAAGATTGATAAGCATGTATCGTGTTCTTTATTTTATTGTTCTGTTTACACTTTTCGTTAAGATCAAAATCATGTCCTTTATTTCTTATTGTTTACTCAATTGCAAATTACATTTGAATTTCTTTCGGTTTTGAGCTAAATAATCAGCTATTGGTCGACTATTGTCCCAATATTCGAGTTTATGTAAATGTCCACTGAGTTTTGCATTGGGTGCATTGAGTTTTTGCTTCAATTGACCAACTGTAGTTGTAACTGGAATTCTTTTCACAATTTTCTTTCGACCACCAGGCCAAGACATGTCTACTTTAACTTTAATGTGATCGCTTTGCGAGGATGATGCGCATCCCATGGTTTTGATTTGTATTCAATGGAAAATACGTACTTGTACGCATGTTTTTATTCTTTCGCCTATTGAAATTAACGAAGTGTGTCGAGTAGTTGCGTCAAACGATGACTCAGCACGATCGGATGAGTATAATATTACCGGTAACGACGTCATCATGAAGTTGTTCTTCGTCCTTCACTAAGCTCTTTTGAACTTTTTTCAAATTATAACATCGATATCTTCAACGATAATTGCTTGACAAGATTATAAACAATCTGTCATTAGCACTATTCCGTGGATAAGAGGAGATTCTCTATACGTATTAGATTGATCTTATAATTAAAAAATGTATGACAAACATGAAAGAAAAAAAAGATGACTTGAGATCATTCTACTACTTCATTTTTCTCTAAGATAGTTCGAATGACGATTCCGTATTCCATTCGCGTATGGTTATTGCTAATACCTTTAATTCCATCTCTCTTCATCACAATATTTTGTCTCTATCATTTTCTCACGAACAGAATGTTGAGATCAGCATTGAACAATCATGTTATCATTGTTCTTCTTATAGCGGGACTCATAGAAGAACTCACTGATATTCCCTGGTATATTCACTATTATCGAACGGGCACTGCTTTGTCATTGACGTCTGCTTTTTGTTACACTTGGGCGTACATTGGATCGAATATTTATGTACTAAACTTTATTCTGATGGCTTGGGCATCTATTGAACGACATATCCTCATATTTCATTCGAAATGGTTTGCAACACGATGGGTCTGCTTTGCTTTACACTATCTTCCCATAGCTATCTGTCTTATTGTACCTTCACTATTCTATCTATTCACATATTTCATTTTACCTTGTGATACATCTTTCAACTACAACGGAGCCCTCTGCGAGTTGTATACATGTGTTCTTAATCATCGATGGGGGCTTTACTTCGACGGTCTGATCAACTATCTGATTCCGATATGGGTTACAGTTATTTTCAGCACAGCATTATTTGTACGTGTTATCTATCAAAAATATCGCGTACACCAGAAGATCGTTTGGAGAAATTATAAAAAACTTGCCGGTCAGTTGTTGCTCATATCGGCATTGTACGTCTCGTTGCAATTTCCTCCGATGATTCTATACGCAGCATACTCAATAGGTTTACCATGCGAGATCGGTGCGGATTACTATAATAACAGTATGTTCTTCACTTATTGGATTATATTATTCACACCATTTACAATAATTGTCTCGTTACCGGAATTAAAAATGAAATTTCGACGACTGATTTTATTTTCGCGACACAGAAACTCGATTACTCCAAAATAAAATGAAGTTTGCATTCAAATTTCTACATTCGGTTGAGCGAAAAGTTATCATATTTCTAATCGATTGAATATCAAATATTACTCATGGCTTTTTCTTTCTCTGTTCTGGTTGAGTATTATATCATGAACTACTCAACTGAAACGAAAAAATAATTTATTTTGTCATTTATCACAAGGTCTATGTATTTATTCGATATCGTTTCTATTTTATTGGAATGCTAACTCTCCTCGAAAGTCTCTCCAACGAACTGATTTATGAAATATTTGAATATTTGCATTTACATCATATCTTTCAAGCATTTTATGATCTTAACGAACGATTTCAATACCTGTCAATCAATTCCAATTTGCCAATCAAAGTCGATATCGCCTCGATATCACTAGCAACATGTGAACAATTTTTCGAGCATATTGTCAGTCGACATGCAGCACGAATCAAGTCGCTTCGTTTATCAAGTCCATTCATACTCGATATTTGTGAATTTCTATTTCCACCAATGACAAATTTCATTCAACTTGAATCACTTAGTTTGAACATAACCGACGGTGAATATCTCAAACAAATGCTAGATCAATTATTTTCATTACCATCGTTATCCTCATTGACTATTACAGCTACGGTTTATATTTCAAATAAGATCTATCAGAAACTATTTCGTCTTCCAACATTGAAATCTTGCCGAATGCTTCTGAAGACATATGATCATATGACGCCCAATCGTACGAAGGATTTTAGTTCAATTGAACATCTGGTCGTGAATCAGCGAATTTCATTTGAAGAACTTGATGCTTTGGTGTCCTATGTCCCGAACGTACATCATTTGTCTATTCATCATTTGACCATCTATCAAGAGAATCGACGGACAAGAAGTTCGTTTACGCTGAACTATTTAACGAAAATTTCTCTCAAGATGAATGATGTTAAATTTTATAATTTCGAGTTGATTGTCATGGATTACTTTCGTCATGTTCAGACTTTGCATCTCCTTGCGCAATCCGAACGATTGTACGAGAGTGGAACTGATTATTTAGATACTGATCGATGGAAACGGCTAATCTCGATGTACATACCGAATCTACGAACCTTTCGTTTTCAACATATCAATCATAATTTGTATAGTGAAACCGATCGACAGATTTATCAAGCTTGTGTAGTGAGTTTCGATTCTGTCTTTTGGGCTGAACATAATTGGTTCTTTGAGTGGCAGTATCATCCACAATCGAGAACAGCGATTTTCTTTTCAAGAAATTCGAAAAGGTAGGCGTCGACTGATGACGATATATTGTTGATCCTCGTTTTCTTCTAGAAAACATCATGATCAAACGAAGAACATGTGGTCATCAATGAATGATATCAATCAAGATCCAATTCATCATATTTATTTGCACGATTTAACTCGTGTGCAACAATATGCCGGCAAATTTCCACATGTTAATGAATTGACATTTTTAGAAACATTTTGTGTTCCTGATGATTCACTTGGACTCAGTTTACAACTTATTCTACCCGTTGTGCAACTTACTAAACTTACAATCAACTGTCTTGACTTTCCGTTTGAACAATTACTTGAACTCTTTCGATTTGCGTCGAACGTTCATACGTTGCAGCTTTTCTCCTTATCACTCGATGAGACCGACTCAATTTGCAATCAGCAAAATCGATTGGTTCGATTAGCTTCGCAGACAAATCGTGTGGCGAAGGTGATCATCGAGAAAACAATTCGATTAGAACAACTTAAACTACTGGCTATTCTCTTCCCTCGACTGGAAAATCTTCTCATTGATTTATATCGACAAGATCTGAAAACGATTGCCGAATATCTCTGGTCAAAGTCGAACAATCACACTCGATATCTATGTCTGCTGTGTATCGCACACGAACGGGAAAATTTGCTCAACGAACTGAATTTTTTAATTAAGTCCGAAAAACTTCTCTCTCGCTATACTTTGAAAGTTATAGAAAAAAAACTCTATGTGTGGTGGTAGAGAACGTTATCTGTGTAATTTCGTTTGTGATTAATTCTCTTGAAATAGGAACGGAGAAAAAAAACCAGCAGATACTTGATGTCATGAGTAAAGCATCATAAAAAGTAGCGATATGCAAAGATCTCTGTTTGCAACAACGCCGCATTCGTTTTCTTCCTTCTGAAAATGGGAGAAAACCGTAAACGCTTTCGAAGTGAGAAGAAAGAGGCAAACATCGAGTTGTTGCCCAACGAATCGTTCGCAGAATTTTTGAAATATTTATTAACTGATGATCTGTTCCGTCCATTCCATGGGCTCAATTTTTGGTTCAAGTCTTTACTTGTCAGGTATTTCCACAACAAATGTGTGGATTTTCGAGCTACATCTCAATCAAATTTCGATACGATATGTGCTTCGTAGTTACTCCAAATCGTTGACGAAACTAGATCACTTCATCTCTGCAGCGATGAACGACCACCGGGGCAGATCAATCTTTTTTTTTCACACGGCCTTTCACTGTCGAAATTGACTTATTTATAATCTACGCTCCAGATAGCTTTCCGGTCGAATCTTTGACGAACTTCAAGACCTACCAAATTTTTCTCCTCTCGTCTATAAATCAACTAGTTCGCATGTTAGAAACACTTCTTGAATTATGCTTCCTCATCAAATTACATTTTCGTATGTAGCATAGAATACAAACAAAAACTCATGTAGAACAGGAAGTCAACAAACTACGTACATGGCACTTTTCGTGGCCATTTTTGGCTTGATGAGCATCGTTGGTTGGTAGAATGTGATTGGAGTTCAGATGGAGCAAAAGTTCATGTTTATACATTACCCTATGCATTCGAAGACGACTTTTGTTCACAACAAAAGGGTTTGTCGAAAACGACTTATCCGGATGAACAGAAAACGTGGTTGTCGACTCTTGCGTGTTCTCTTGCATATGATACATTCATAAATATATGAAGATTTCAATGTGCCAAACATACAATTTTCGAACATTCCAAATCTTTCCATTAAACTTCCGACCAGCAAGCATTTCTTAACTATGAAAAAACCATTTTAACAAGTGAAAATGCTTGTCATTTCAACGCTCGATGCGACCATGGAAGGTTGCCGAGAGCAGTTGCAAAATTTACTTCCTAGAATACCTCATCTATCAGTTTTATACATTCGCGAGCAACTAATAAAGATTTTACGATAAGTGTCATTTGACAACAGAAAGTTGTCTATATGGCTTTTAGATTTAATCTCCTTGAATTTATGGTACGAGAGCGAACAATGTTTAGCACTGAGTCATTTGTCAATTGTCACTCATTGTAAAGTACTTATGCGGTCGCTGATCGTACATGTGTTGATGAGCTTGTTCAATGGTTACAACAACATTTACCATTTTCATGCACAATACGAAGATCTCCTCTGCATCGAGTGATTGACTTATGGTTACGTTAATCTATATTTCCGTCGAAAAATCTTTTGTTTTTCGAAAATTTATTAATTCACTACTAGTTGTAATAAAACTGTGTTCAACATTCCGAGTTCATATATATAAATAGGATCTCTAGTCAATATGCATATCCACACCCTCACACCCTCAGGAAGGTATTGGGTCAGTACCGATAATAATTGGAACTAAGATTTCAAAATTGTTTCCAGAAACACTTTCGAGTTGAACTTGAAATTTCAATAAATAATTCGTACGTGTCGACGTTTTCTGGCTAACACCGCCATCAAACTGATACGATGGTGGTAAAGGTGTGGCAGGAATCGCAATTGTAAATGCTTGGCTGAGTCGAGTGTCTTGTCGACGCATCAGTTCTGGTATTGGTTTACTCGTGATGACATGTTCGCCAGAAGCACTTCCCATAATGAAACTCCTGATTAATGACACCATGATTTGTTTAATTATTATCTGTCTGGGATTTTCGATATTCAATACACCTTGAATGGTTTCCCCTGCGATGTATCCGAGTTTGTTTATACTTCCATTCAAGTTCAAATTTGCTTGATTTTGCGTACTGAATGGAACAGGATTGGACGCATTTGAAACTTGTGAGAGATTAACACGTGGAAACACAGTAACATACTTATTTTCTCGTGTGTTTGCTTTGTACCACGCTCGATCGACATACATTTGTACAAAATAACAAACATGTGGCTGACTTCCAGGCGAATTCAAAGATGGCGGAATATTGACAGGCAATTGAATCTGAAATGGAAACGTATGCTGGCCTTTCCCAAACGTTAACTCTTCTTGTCCGTTTTCCGGACGAGCAAGAACAACGTTCGATGAAATGACTGGAATCTCATGTGGTATCGTTTGTGTCGTTGGCTGCCCGTTCAGCACAACAGTTTGCTGTGTGGTATACGCAACTTGTCCGAAAAATTTCAAAACAAGTTCATCGACGTTGACAGTCTCTTCAAGAACATCGAAAACAACATTTCCAGTAATAGTTTCACCACTATAATAGAACGGATTTGCCCGATCAAGATTGACGACAGTTGTTGAACTCGAAGAGCCGCAACCCATATTCAAAACTAAAACTCACATTGAAAGCAAAGCTTTTATATAGATCGAGAGAAAGTACAGAAAGAAAGAAAAAAAGAATTCACTCAATCGCCTACACTGAGTAATATTTTAGTTCTTTTGCAAACAGAAATAATTTTCTCTCTGTTTACCTAAGTTGACTGACGAGAGAGGCGAAGTGTAACGAGTGGGAGTACTGGTAGCAACACGAAAGAAATGGATTCTACATTGTGTAAATAAAAAAAAAAGAATTGTGTACGCAGTTTGATTTAAAAAAAAAGATTCAGCACATTTTACCTTCATACTCCTACGTATAACGCTCTTAGTGAAAAAAATTAGAACAAATTATTTCGACCATACAAAATACAACAATGAATATACAGTTTAACAGAGTAAATACAAATGCTGTCGTTATAGTTTTAAACGTTCATCGATCCATGACGTGATTATGAACACGTTTAGAAAAGTCCGAATTTGTTTGTGTGGTGCACACCACAATGATGGTAATATGTCCGCAAAAAACACTCACGCGAACGAAAAATTTTATTAATATTCATTGTACAATTTAAAAGCACATTCAGAACGCTCTATTAGCAGCTAACAAATATCGCTTATCACAATCTATTCTTCGTTTCTAGAACGTTTCTTTGATACATTTGTAAATGAGAATGACTTGGTGGTAGGACTTTTTGTCCGATTTGAAGAGCATGTTCATAAAAATGATAGGCAGTCGAATAGGCATTTGCCATCAAATACACATCACCGATGCTGTTGTAGGTGTAAGCAATGTCAGGATGATTTGAAGGAAGTGATTTTAGCTGAATTTCAAGGGCTTGCTTATATGATGAAAGTGCCGCAGGATAATTGTATAAATCAAAATACACTAGACCAATGTTCGTATAGGATGCAGCCACACAAGGATGATCTGGAGCAAGCGACTGCTTTTGAATTTCGAGGGCTTGTTCAAATAAAGAAAGTGCGTTTGATTTATCATTTAGGTTGTAATACGCTAAACCGATGTTGATGTAGGATGAAGCTATGTCAGGATGATTCGAAGGAAGTGATTGCAACTGAATTTTGAGAGCTTGCTCATGAGCTGACAGTGCTTCTGAATGAGTGCCCATTCTAAAATGCGCACTACCAATGCTACTGTAGGATATACTAACATCCAGATGAATTGGAGAAAGTGATTGTTGTTGAATTTTCAAGGCTTGTTGATGAGCTGAAAGTGCTTCTGAATAAAGATCCATTCTGGAATACACGACACCAATGCTGTTATAGCATGAAGCAACATCAGGATGACACAAAGGAAGCGATTGTAGGAAGATTTCAAGAGCTTGTTCATGGGCTAAAAGCGCCGCGGGATAATTGCCCATTCTCAGATTCACATTACCGATGTTGTTGTAAGACGAGGCCACCTGAGGATGATTCGAAGGAAGCGATTGCTTTTGAATCTGGATGGCGCGTTCATACGACGAAAGAGCTTTTAGATAGCTACCCATGTCAGAATACACACTACCGATGTTAATATAGGATGAAGCTATGTTAGGATGATTTGAAGGCAGTGACTGCTGTTGAAGTTTGAGAGCTTGCTTATATAAAGAAAGTGCGTTTGAATGATCACCCATAACGTAATGCACATTACCAATGTTGGTGTAGGATTTAGCTAGATTAAGATGATTGCGAGGACGTAACTCATGTACAATACTGAGGGCTTGTTCATATGATGAAAGTGCTTTTGGATAATCACCTAAACCGTAATACGCCAAGCCGATGTCACTGTAAGATGTAGCCACAGTAGGATGACAGGCAGGAAAAAATTTCAGCAAGTTCTCCCGAGACTGTTTGTAAAGTTTTATTGCCTCTTCATATTGTCCTTGACGGCATTTTATCGAACCAAGTAGACCTTGAAGGCATGCTTCATTCATCTCGCTCAGCGTTTTATCGAGTAGTACTTTACAGATTCGTTCAGCAGTATCACATTGTCCGATCTGAGCCAATACCAAACTCAATCTCTCCCATCCTGCGGCATCTGGCTCGGTCTCTTCACGAATTTGCTTAGTCAGCAAAAGTAGTTCTTCGTCATATTTATTAGCTAGCGACATTTCTGCTTCAAACGCTGTGTCATCTTCCTTCAGTGGTGTAATTTCATCTATACGGCAGACGCAGTGCATCGAAAAAAGTACTTCGTCTTCGTCTTCAAACTGACTCAGGTGTTTGATCGAAGCAAACGGTGTGCTTGAGTCATTAGGATCCACTTTCATCACAAATAGAACGCCTACCATATCATTGCTCTTTCCACCAGTTGAGGTAAACATCAGAGCAACGCGGCGATTTTTACTTGTGGACAAAAAATTATTGAACGATATCAAACCACCCTTTAACTTAGCCATTTCATCGAAATCTTTCTTTGTTAAAACTTGACCGCGGTAAACCGTCAAGCTTCGATCAGCACAGGCGTCCCCATACTCTGTTTGATGCAGTTGTTCAATGCCTCGATGAAGATCTTTGATGAAAAATCCCATCAATGTGATCACTTCACCATTCATCAATCGTAAAGCGCGATTCAGCGTACGGTACAGAAATGGCTCGATTGTATACCACCGTATGGCCGCATCCTTGTCATATTCATCTTCTAACTGCTTTACTTTTTTGTGATCGATCTTGTCGTCAATAGATGTATGGCAACAATAGTCCACAAATTCTTTCGTATGCTTATGTTCAAATTCGATGGTCAGTAGGATTTCTTTCATGATTTGTGTATACATGAATGTTGGATCTAGTTGATCTGGTTTTTTGCCTGGCGGGATGACACTAATCGGAATGTCGTCAGACTCATATCGTCGAGTGATCTGTCGGCAGATACGTGTGATATCGCTGCAAACACCTTTTACTTTGATCCATTGTTTTATTCGTTGCTCATATTGATCTTTACTATCGGAAAAGATGAAGATTGAATCAACGTTTGGAATATCATGAATACATGGTATGATAAATTGTTCAATTGATTCTGAAATGATCAGGTACACTTTGGTATCGAAATTGTCAACAATGAATTCTACGCATTGATCATTATCAGTGAACGTATTGATCTCAGGAAGAATGCATTCAAGTTGTGTGGTTGTGTCATAAAAGTCGTGGCTGTTGTTAGTAGAACTGTCCAACCACACAATAGGAATGTCTTGCATTTGCCACATGTGACATCAATTAAGAGCTTTTCTTTTTACGATGCAGATACAATAGATGTGAATCGTCTCAAGAGATCTTCTATATAACGAGAATAAAGAGTGTAACAGCGGACTACTTTTATTAATGCAACTATCAAGATAAAGACTTTTCCAACATACATATACAATCTCGAAAGATAAAGATAAATATCAAGCTCGCAAACAACATGACTACGTCGATATATTTTCGTGTAAGATCATATAGAGAGATATTAGCGCTTCTAGATAAAGGAATCAGCGCAACATCTCTTCTCCACTGTTACATGATAAGCAGACGAATAAATATCACTATCTCACAGTCAATGACAGAAAAAGCACGAGACACAACATTGAATGTCATGAATACGCTCAAAGTCTATTTACATAGAAATAACTTCTTAATTTCTGCTCGAAACGTTTTCGACACAACCAGATTTATGTAACAGCTAATTGATGGTGGAATATAATAAACTAAGCTGGATACATTTGTTAAAAACGAATCTAGTTGCACATCATCGGGACTTTCGTTCTCATACTGTGTGACTTGCTTATAAATCCAAACAGTCACAGGCGTCAAGTTGAATAGAATATAAACAGTGACATTAATAAGTAGAATTTTCATTAGTTGTCCATCTTTTTGACGTTTGGCACCTCCGACAGTGCTAGCAACTGTTGACACTGGAGCAATAGCGGCACGATGTGCAAATCGAAAACTTCGAATCGTATGAATTTCACAGATCATCATCAATATTGGTACGCAAACGGTCTTCGATAGTGCATAATAATTAGCAAATGCTAAATAAACATTTGAATCCGTGTAACAAATATTGTAGTTTGGCATAATTTGAATTGATTTGAAGAAGAACAATGCATGAATATGAAATAACATCCAGAATATTGTGCCAATGAGAATGCACATATATGCGAGACGATGGTTGCTTAGCCGACGCATACGTGCATTTCGTGAAGTGGCGATAGATCTATCAATCGAAGCCAGAATGAGATAAAACGGACTAAGCACGTCCAGAACATAGCCAACATAATACATCAGACGACAATAAGTGGTACTGTACGTAGGAAGATAGCCGTTAAAACCAAATGCTGATATTCCTTGAGAAAAACATGTTGAAATTTCAAGGAAATTAGCAAGATTATATGCGATAAAATAGAACGAGCATGGGCTTTTGCGAAGATTTTTCTTTGAGAAAATCAGCAAGTTAAGGACACAACCAAGACTTCCCGCAACTGCTAGAAATGTACCACCGTACACATACAGATAAGTTTGTATCGACGTTAATTGTTGAAAATAATCCATTTCGAATGAGTTCTCGTTGAATACAAGTAAATTGTATTTATGTTAGAGAAAACTTTGTTTCATTTTGTCAAAAACATAAAATTTATCAATTTCTTGGCATCAGCTACCTTTCAAAAACAGATTGATCTTCTAGATGAAAATAGACTTTAACAAAGGTCGACGGAAAGAACGCAGTTCTGCAGGTACTCTTTTTCTTTTTGATTCATTGTATAGAAACAGATAATTTGACACATTTCAAGGATGCAGATGATGAAGAACAAGAACATTCTCAAGAAAGCCTCACTCCTCCTCTCAAAATTCAACTGAAATAAATTATATACTTGTGCGTGACGTCTCTAATTCAAAATTACATTCAGCTCATCTACGTCATACATCTGGTTCACAAAAATAGCAGACGCGTGTTGGCTGATGTTGAGGAGGCTCATCATGTCGGAGGATATTATCATACAGATAATCAAGCAAACCAATCTTATTCAATACATAGCGCAATTTGCACAATACTTGATTTATTTTTATTGCATTCTTTGAAATGAATTCTCAATACAATTAACTGTTCATATTGATTTTAGGTAGATAATTCTTTAGCCATGTGCTAGTATCTAGTCCAATCGTGTTCATCCATCGAATATTGGCCTTTATCTTTTCAATAGACGAAAGAAAAGCTCGTTCGGCAAGCGATAAATCATCTGTTTCCTTCATGAACTTCTGCACAGCTTGTAAATCGTTCTCTGTATTCATATATTCCAGAACATTGTTAACAATATCTGACAGAGTAAAACTGATACTACCAAAGACATGAACCAGTTCTTTCCATTGTTGACTAATAAAGTTCCAAGCAAGCTTTTGTCCACCTGGTTGAAGACGAATATTATTGATGAATCTCGATGCGTCTTGAAGACGAATATAATCGTTCCCTAACGTTGTATTGAGTAATTCTTCCAGAAGAGTTTTATTTCGTGTGCATGTTAGTGCATAACCATATCGATTCTTTTCCACTTGGTCATTACTTTCTTTATATAATGTTTTCATGTTTTCATAATCCTGCATTGTACCATTTTTAATACCTTGACAATATGTCACAGTTCGAATATCAGGAGTAATCGGATTAGCGGTGGAATTTGAACGCCATTGGCCATATTTTTCAACCAAATCCTTAATGCATCGATCATACCCGTTAGCACAAAGATCCGAGATGACCATAGCACGTAATTGTCGTGTGAAATAATCCAGTGATTGTAATTCTTGTTCCATAGAGAAAACCGATGAATTATATTGTTTTTCTTCAAGGTTCTGAATGAATTTTTGCATGTTCTGGTAGTCGACGCCATCCGGATTTTGACTAAACATCACTAATGGATAATAAATATTGATTGAGAACGTTCGAAAAGGCACATAATCAGTTTCGTTAATTAAATAAGTCGCAAGCTCTAACGCAAAAGTAACATTTAAGTCAGAAGATCGAGCTAAATTGAATGTGTCGTCGATCATCTGTGCACGTGTTACGATAGAAAATGATCTACGATCAGTTGCTAATTGTTTGATAATCAATTTCCAATTGGCTTGATCATAATTAACACGATAAAATCCGAACTCATCAACATTAAATACAATCCAATTATTATTCGTTACAATATTCGGTAATATTCGAGTTTGATTTGGAGCGACCCATTGAATTGATGACGAGTTTGATGATGTCATGTAGTTAAATGGAATATACCATTGAAATGAATTGACATTGAGAGATGTTTGATTTAGTTCGTATGGATCAAGAAAGTACCGTTTTTGAGTAAGCACGATCGAATTATCGGTGCTGTTGCGTATAACCGTGAGGANGATACATATTTCCATACCAATGGTCACCGTGACTACTTGTATTCACAGCAAACAGAATCGGTTTATCTCTTGATAATTTTCTACTTAATTCTTGTGCTTGGTGATTCAAACGTTGATTTAGGAACGTTTCGATCAATAGAACGCCATGCTCACCAATAATCAATCCACCACTCGTAGCTGCTGCACCACCAGTCGCATTTAACTGTTCGGCATCTTTGGCATAGAGAGCATAGACACCATCTGCCAACTTTACACTTGTCATTTCTACTTTATTTCCATCCCAAACCGGTTGTTTTTCATCATCCTGTACTGATTGAACAACTTGATTTTGACTGTGATTACCTACAGAAGACAAGATAAGAAAATTAACCAGAAACGAACATAAATTTGAGCGGTACCTACCGTGTGTACACATAATTTCTGTTTGATTTGAATATACTCTTTGGTACAGCTATTTATAATACAAAAATCCAAATGACGATGCATTTTTCTGTTATTGTTATTTTCTCGGTTAAAACACGATGATAAGGCATATTTCAAAAATAGGGTAATACTACGTTTTAGTGTAAACAAACATGAGTCAAGACGTCGCATATTACGTTGTTTTTTATTTGTTCTCTTTATTCTATTGAATAGACCGCTCTTGAAAAATACAGTGTGAGTTTAGCTACAATAAATCTGTGTGTTATTCAGTTGGTTACTATACTGAAAATCAGTGTTGTTTTTTAAGTAGTTCAAATAGTGTTTATAGAGACTTCGAGAATTTGCATCTCCAACCAGTGTGAAATTAATCGCAATGATATTCTTTCGTATTCCGCAACGAATGAACGATTTGAACACATTCAAGAAACTCGTACTTGTATAATTTCCCAGAATTGCAATACCTTTTGAATAAATAAATTCAATAAGAGAAATTTTCAGGTCGTGTTTTTACCTAAGGATCGAAAATTGTAACTAATGCAATGTGCACCTCGAAACATCCATCCTCGACCCCGGTAGATTTCAGAATGATCATTCTTATCGTTACACATAAGAAAATTATAACCAATGTCGGCCCAACCTCGAATATCTATTTGGAAATCCTGAAGATCTTGAATCGCTTTGATGCAATCCTGTTGGCTCATAACGTTTTTCACATCTGCTAATTGTCTTACGACAATATGTGTGACTGGTACAGTTGTCAGATTCTCACGTGTAATATACGGGCGTGCATTCCAACTAGTCCGATTCAGTATTCTCGGACAGTCTATACAGGAAAAAAAGTGAATCGCAGGTATTGATGAAATGGTACATTACCGAATGGCAATTGATACTCAAGGCGATTGATTTTCTCTAATAGTAATGTTGAATTGTGATTCGGGTAGGATTTCTTAATAGCGAAAATTAGAATAAATGTAACACTCAATGCGATCAGAACAAGAACAGTTAAGATTGCAATAGCGCCATAAAGCAACGTTCGCCGTCGCTTGAATCTCGTATAAGCTTCAGCATCTTTGATATCATTCTCTGAGGATAAAACTGTTAGCAAACGTGATGATTGCTCATCAAGTTTATCCGGATCTTCACATTCTTCTAATTCGATTTCAATGGAAATTGCTGCTTGTGGATTATCGATATAATTTCGTTTGATGGATGTTACTTTAAAAACACTGAATGGAATGATTAAAATTTCTTTTTCATCGGGTCTTGTCGATAAATTTCCGATATTAATCGCTGTTAAATCTTGTTTTATAACATATTGGCATACACACGAATATAGCAGTGCACGCTGATCTTTCGGTGTATGTCTCATTTGCGATTGTTGTCCTTCGCCGGCGAACATTTCTGCAACTTGTCTGTCAAGCGATGTTGAGAGAAAAGCTCGGTTTAATATATGATGATTGATCTGATACTGTTCTAAATCATTCGTTGTTATTCGCATTCCTCGATAACATACACCTCGATATTGATATTGAGGTAGATTTGGATGGTAGATTAAAAGTGTAACGAGATGCACAAGACAATTGACAAGACGATAATTTGATGAAAATGTTTTTGTTTGATCGAAGTATTCCAAGATGTACAAAGCTAAGTCTTTGTTTAGAAAGTGATAGAATATGTTGGTTAATGTGTATGCTTTGATAAAATAAGTTAGATAATCTTGTTTATCAATCGCTTCTTTGAAATACGATTCGATCGTTTCGATTTGTGCTCGAAGTGTATCATCTCTGGCATCGTCAAGTAGATACTCGTTTAAATAGTAATGAATGACTTCTGCTAATAACTTTGATACTAGAAGATGGTTATCATAGGTTTTATAGACATCGATAAGTTTCCGAAATTCTCGACGTTTACTGAGTAAATCATCACCGATCAATGACCATTGAATGAAATTATAATCGTTATTGAACGGCGGATTTTTGTTTTCGAGAAACAATTGTTTGATTTCCTCGACATGTGTTTCTTCATACGGTGTTAAACTATGTCGTAAATTTGGTATTGAATGTGTCGCGCCGTAATCGAGGAGAATCTTGACCATATCGCGATGACCATAATAGCAAGCCACATGTAAACATGTCGAGCCGGTGACTGTATGAAGTTTATTAATCAAATTAATATTACCAATAAATGGTAAAATTCTTTGCACTTCTTCAATTTCATTTCGTTTACATAACTGGTATAAGAAATCAATGATATTCGATTCATTTTCATCGTCGTCTGCTGGTAAGATCGAAAGCATGAGGATGACGAGAAATAAGACGAAGAAAAGATGTGCGTTTTCGATTTGACATTCTCTTTATATATTATAGAAATCTTATCTATTGAGATTGATAAGCATATATCGTGTTCTTTATTTTATTGCTCTGTTTACACTTTTCGTTAAGATCAAAATCATGTCCTTTATGTCTTATTATTTACTCAATTGCAAATTACATTTGAATTTCTTTCGATTTTCAGCTAAATAATCAGCTATTGGTCGATTATTGTCCCAATATTCGAGTTTATGTAAATGTCCACTGAGTTTCGCATTGGGTGCATTGAGTTTTTGCTTCAATTGACCAACTGTAGTTGTAACCGGTATTCTTTTCACAATTTTCTTTCGACCACCAGGCCAAGACATGTCTACTTTAACTTTAATGCGATCGTTTTGCGAGGATGATGCGCATCCCATGGTTTTGATTTTTATTCAATGGAAAATACGTACTTGTACGCATGTTTTTATTCTTTCACGTATTGAAATTGATCAAGTGTGTCGAGTAGTTGCGTCAAACGATAACTCAGAACGATCGGATGGGTAAAATATTACCGGTAACAACGTCATCATGAAGTTGTTCTTCGGCCTTCACCAAGCTCTTTTGAACTTTTTTCAAATTATAACATCGACATCTTCAACGATAATTGCTTGACAAGATTATAAACAATCTGTCATTAGAACTATTCCGTGGATAAGAGGAGATTCTCTGTGCGCATTAGATTGATCTTATAATTAAAAAATGCATGATAAATATGAAAGAAGAAAAGATGACTCGAAATCATTCTACTACTTTGTTTTTCTCTCAGATAGTTCGAATGACAATTCCATATTCCATTCGCGTATGGGTACTGCTAATACCTCTAATTCCATCTCTCTTCATCACACTATTTTGTCTCTATCATTTTCTTACGAACAGAATGTTGAGATCAGCATTGAACAATCATGTTATCATTGTTCTTCTTATAATGGGACTCATAGAAGAACTCACTGATATTCCCTGGTATATTCACTATTATCGAACGGGCACTGCTTTTTCATTGACGTCTGCTTTTTGTTACACTTGGGCGTACATTGGATCGAATATCTATGTATTAAATTTTATTCTGATGGCTTGGGCATCTATTGAACGACATATGCTCATATTTCATTCGAAATGGTTTGCAACACGATGGATCTGCTTTGCTCTACACTATCTTCCCATAGCTATCTGTCTTATTGTACCTTCACTATTTTATCTATTCACATATTTCATTTTACCTTGTGATACATCTTTCAACTACAACGGAGCCCTCTGCGGGTTGTATACATGTGTTCTTAATCATCGTTGGGGGCTTTACTTCGACAGTCTGATCAACTATCTGATTCCGATATGGGTTACAGTTATTTTTAGCACAGCATTATTTGTACGTGTTATCTATCAAAAATATCGAGTACATCAGAAGATCATTTGGAGAAATTATAAAAAACTTGCCGGTCAATTGTTGCTCATATCGGCATTGTACGTCTCGTTGCAATTTCCTCCGATGATTCTATACGCAGCATACTCAATAGGCTTACCATGCGAGATCGGTGCGGATTATTATAATAACAGTATGTTTTTCACTTATTGGATTATATTATTCACACCATTTACAATAGTTGTATCGCTACCGGAATTACAAATGAACTTTCGACGACTGATGTTATTTTGGCGACACAGAAACTCGATTACTCCAAAATAAAATAAAGTTTGCATCCAAATGTCTACATTCGATTGAGCGAAAAGTTATTATATTTCTAATCGATTGAATACCAAATATTACTCATGGTTTTTTCTTCCTCTGTTCTGGTTGAGTATTATATCCTGAGCTACTCAACTGAAACGAAAAAATGATTTATTTTGTCATTTATCACAAGGTCTGTGTATTTGTTTGATATCGTTTCTATTTTATTGGAATGCTAACTCTCCTCGAAAGTCTCTCCAACGAACTGATTTATGAAATATTTGAATATTTGCATTTACATCATATCTTTCAAGCATTTTATGATCTTAACGAACGATTTCAATACCTGTCAATTAATTCGAATTTGCCAATCAAAGTCGATATCGCGTCGATGTCACTAGCAACATGTGAACAATTTTTCGAGCATATTGTCAGTCAACATGCAGCACGAGTCAAGTCGCTTCGCTTATCAAGTCCATTCATGCTCGATACCTATAAATTTCTATTTCCACTAATGACAAACTTCACTCAACTTGAATCACTTAGTCTGACCATAACCGACGGTGAATATGTCAAACAAATGCTAGATCAATTATTTTCATTACCATCGTTATCCTCATTGACAATTACATCTACGGTTTATATCTCGAATAAGATCTACCCTCAACTATTTCGTCTTCCAACATTAAAATCTTGCCGAATGCTTCTGAAGACATATGATCATATGACGCCTAATCGTACGAAAGAGTTTAGTTCAATTGAACATTTGGTTGTGAATCAGCGCATTTCATTTGAAGAACTTGATGCTTTGGTGTCCTATGTCCCGAATGTACATCATTTGTCTATTCATCATTTGTCCATCTATCAAGAGAATCGACGGGCAAGAAGTTCGTTTACGCTGAACTATTTAACGAAAATTTCTCTCAAGATGAATGATGTTAAATTTTCTAATTTCGAGTCGATTGTCGTGGATTACTTTCGTCATGTTCAGATTTTGCATCTTCTTGCGCAATCCGAACGATTGTACGAGAATGGAACTGATTATTTAGATACTGATCGATGGAAACGGCTAATCTCGATGTACATACCGAATCTACGAACCTTTCGTTTTCAACATGTCAATCATAATTTATATAGTGAAACCGATCGACAGATTTATCAAGCATGTGTAGTGAGTTTCGATTCAGTATTTTGGACTGAACATAATTGGTTCTTTGAGTGGCAGTATCATCCACAATCGAGAACAGCGATTTTCTTTTCAAGAAATTCGAAAAGGTAGGTGTCGACCGATGACGATATATTATTGATCCTCGTTTTCTTCTAGAAAACATCACGATCAAACGAAAAACATGTGGTCATCAATGAATGACATCAATCAAGATCCAATTCATCATATTTATTTGCATGATTTAACACCTGTGCAACAATATGCCGGCGAATTTCCACATGTTAATGAATTGACATTTTTAGAAACATTTTATGTTCCTGATGATTCACTTGGACTCAGTTTACAACTTATTCTACCTGTTATACAACTTACTAAACTTACAATCAACTGTCTTGACTTTCCGTTTGAACAATTACTTGAACTCTTTCGATTTGCGTCGAATGTTCATACGTTGCAGCTTTTCTCCTTAGCACTCGATGAGACCGACTCAATTTGCAATCAGCAAAATGGATTAGTTCGATTAGCTTCGCAGACAAATCGTGTGGTGAAGGTGATCATCGAGAAGACAATTCGATTAGAACAACTCAAACTACTGACTATTCTCTTTCCTCGACTGGAAAATCTTCTCATTGATTTATATCGACAAGATCTCAAAACGATTGCCGAATATCTCTGGTCAAAGTCGAACAATCACACTCGATATTTATATCTGCTGTGTATCGCACACGAACGGGAAAATTTGCTCAACGAACTGAATTTTTTAATTAAGTCCGAAAAACTTCTCTCTCGCTATGCATTGAAAGTTATAGAAAAAAAACTCTATGTGTGGTGGTAAACAACGTTATCTGTGCAATTTCGTTTGTGAATAATTCTCTTGACACAGGAACAGAGAAAAAGTCAACAAATACTTGATGTCATGGGTAAAACACCATGAAAAGTAGCGATATGTGAAGGTCTCTGTTTGCAACAACGTCAGATTCGTTTTCTTTCTACGGAAAATGGGAGAAAACCGTAAACGCTTCCGAAGCGAGAAGAAAGAGATAAACATCGAGTTGTTTGCAGAAGTTTTGAAATATTCATCAACTGATGATTTGTTTTGTGCATTCCATGGATTCAATTTTTTGTTCAAGTCTTTACTTGTCAGGTATTTCCACGACAAATGTGTGGATTTTCGAGCTACGTCTCAATCGAATTTCGATACGATATGTACTTCATATTTACTCCGAATCGTTGACAAGATTAGATCACTTCATCTCTGCAGCGATGAACGAACACCGGAGCAGATCGATCATTTTTTTTCACACGGTCTTTCACTGTCGAAATTGACTCATTTATAATCTTCGCTCCAAATAGTTTTCCGGTCGAATCTTAGACGAACTTCAAGACCTACTAAATTTTTCTCCTCTCGTATATAAATCAATATATCATACTTCAAATTCTTTTCTGGACTCGAATGATGGCGATGTCAAAACTTACGAAACTGGAGAGAACATAGTTTTGGAATTAAAATCAACTATAGTTCCCATATTAGAAACATTTCTTGAATTATGTTTTCTCATCCAATTACATTTTCGTATGTAGCATAGAATACAAATAAAAACTCACGTAGAACAGAAAGCCAACAAACTATGACGCTTTTCGTGGCCGTTTTTGGCTAGAAGAGCATCGTTGGTTTGTAGAATGTGATTGGAGTTCAGATGGAGCAAAAGTTTATGTTTATACATTACCCTATGCATTCGAAGGCTACTTTTGTTCACAAAAAAAAGATTTATCGAAAATAACTTATCCGGATGAACAGAAAACGCGGTTGTCGACTCCTGTGTGCTCTTTTGCATATCACATTCATAAATATATGAAGATTTCAATGTGTCAAGCATACAATTTTCGAACATTCAACGTCTTTCTATTGAACTTCCGACCGGCGAGCATTTCTTATCTATGAAAAAATATTTTTAACAAGTAAAAGATGCTTGTTATTCCATCGCTCGGTAACTATTGAAGGGTGTCGAGATCAATTGTAAAACTTACTTCCTCAAATCGCTCCTCTGTCAACTTTATACATTCGCGAGCAGCCAACAAAGATTTTACAATAATTGTCATTTGATAAAAGAAACTTGTCTATATAGCTTTTAGATTTACTCTCGTTGGATTTATGGTACGCTAACAAACAATGTTTAGCATTGAGTCATTTACCATCTTCTTGCACAGTACGAAGATCTTCTCTGCATCGAGTGATCGGCTTACGATTACGTTAATCTATATTTCGCTCAAAAAATCTTTTTTTTTCGAAAATTTATTAATTCACTACTAGTTGTAATAAAACTGTGTTTAAGATTCCGAGATCATATATATAAATAGGATCTCTAGTCAATATGCACATCCACCCTCTCACCCTCAGGAAGGTTTCGGGTCAGTACCGATAATAATTGGAACTAAGATTTCAAAATCATTTCCAGAAACACCTTCGAATTGAATTTGAAATTTCAGCAAATAATTCGTCCGTGTCGATGTTTTCTGGCTAACACCGCCATCAAACTGATACGATGGTGGGAACGGTGCGGCAGGAATCGTAATTGTAAATGCCTGACTAAGTCGAGCATCTTGTCGACGCATCAGTTCTGGTATTGGTTTACTCGTGATGACATGTTCGCCAGAAGCACTTCCCATAACGAAACTCCTGATTAATGACACCATGATTTGTTTAATCATTATTTGTCTGGGATTTTCGATATTCAATATACCTTGAATGGTTTCTCCTGCGATGTATCCGAGTTTGTTTATACTTCCATTCAAGTTCAAATTTGCTTGATTTTGCGTACCGAATGGAACAGGATTGGATGTATTTGAAATTTGTGAGAGATTAACACGTGGAAACACAGTAACATACTTATTTTCTCGTGTGTTTGCTTTGTACCACGCTCGATCGACGTACATTTGTACAAAATAACAAACATGTGGCTGACTTCCAGGCGAATTCAACGATGGTGGAATATTGACAGGCAATTGAATCTGAAATGGAAACGTATGTTGACCTTTCCCGAACGTTAACTCCTCTTGTCCATTTTCTGGACGAGCAAGAACAATATTCGACGAAACGATCGGAATTTCATGTGGTATCGTTTGTGTCGTTGGCTGCCCGTTCATCACAACAGTTTGTTGTGTTGTGTAAGCAACTTGACCGAAAAACTTCAAAACAAGTTCATCGACGTTGACGGTCTCTTCATGAACATCGAAAACAACATTTCCAGTAATAGTTTCACCACTATAAAAGAACGGATTTGGCCGATCGAGATTGACGACAGCTGTTGAACTGGAAGAGCCGCAACCCATATTCAAAACTAAGACTCACATCGAAAGCAAAGCTTTTATATAGGTTGAGAGAAAGTACAGAAAGAAAGAAAAAAAAAGAATTCACTCAATCGCCTACACGGAGTAATATTTTAGTTCTTTTGCAAACAGAAACAATTTTCTCTCTGTTTACCTAAGTTGACTGACGAGAGAGGCGAAGTGTAACGAGTGGGAGTACTGATAGCAACGAGAAAGAAATGGATTCTACATTGTGTCAATAACAAAAAAAAATTGTGTATGCAGTTCGATTTAAAAAAAGATTCAGCACATTTTGCCTTCATACTCCTACGTGTAACGCTCATAGTGAAAAGAATTAGAACAAATTATTTCGAACGTATGAAACATAACAATGGATATACAGTTTAGCAGAGTAAATACAAATGCTGTCGTTATAGTTTTTAAACATTCATCGATCCATGACGTGAGTATGAACACGTTTAGGACAGCCAGAACTTGTTTGTATGACGCACACCCCAATAATGGTAATATGTCCGCAAAAAGCATTCATGCTAACGAAAAATTTTATTAATATTCATTGTACAATTTGAAAACACATTCAGAACGCTCTATTACCATCTAACAAATATCGCATATCACAATCGTTTCTTCGTTTCTTGAACATTTCCTTGGTACAGTTGTAAATGAGAATGACTTGGTGGTAGGACTTTTTCTCCAATTTGAAGAGCATTTTCATAAAAACGATAGGCAGTCGAATAATCATTTGCCCTGAAATACACATCGCCGATCTTGTTGTATGTGTAAGCAATGTCAGGATGATTTGAAGGAAGTGATTTTAGCTGAATTTTAAGGGCTTGATTATATGATGAAAGTGCCATAAGACGATCGTATTTGTCAAAATACACTAGACCAATGTTCGTATAGGTTGCAGCCACACATGGATGATCTGGAGCAAGCGACTGCTTTTGAATTTCGAGGGCTTGTTCAAATAAAGGAAGTGCCTTTGTGTTATCATTTAGATTGTAATATGCTAAACCGATGTTGATGTAAGATGAAGCAATGTCAGGATGATTCGAAGGCAGTGATTGCAGCTGAAGTTGAAGAGCTTGCTCATGAGCTAACAGTGCTTCTGAATGAGCACCCGCCCTAAAATGCGCACTACTGATGTTACTGTACGATATACTAACATCCAGATGAATTGGAGAAAGTGATTGTTGTTGAATTTTCAAGGCTTGTTGATGAGCTAAAAGTGCTTCTGAATAGTCATTCATTCTGGAATACACGATACCAATGCTGTTATAGCATGAAGCAAGATCAGGATGATATGAAGGAAGTGACTGTAGGAAGGTTGCAAGAGCTTGCTTATGGGCTAAAAGCGCCGCGGGATAATTGCCCATTCTCAGATTCAAATTACCGATGTTGTTGTAAGATGAGGCCACCTGAGGATGATTCGAAGGAAGCGATTGCAACTGAATTTGGATGGCGCGTTCATACGATGAAAGAGCTTTTGGATAGCTACCCATGTCAGAATACACACAACCGATGTTAATACAAGATGAAGCTATATTAGGATGATTTGAAGGCAGTGACTGCTGTTGAAGTTTGAGAGCCCGCTTATATAAAGAAAGTGCGTTTGGATGGTCACCCATAGTGTAATGCACATTACCAATGTTGGTGTAGGATTTAGCTAGATCGGGATGATCGAAATGACATAACTCAAGTGTAATTCTGAGGGCTTGTTCATATGATGAAAGTGCTTTTGGATAATCACCTAAACCGTAATACGCCAAACCGATGTCATTGTAAGATGTAGCCACAATACGATGGCAGGCAGGAAAAAATTTCAGCAAGTTCTTCCGAGACTGTTCGTAAAGGTTTATTGCCTCTTCATATTGTCCTTGACGGCATTTTATCGAACCAAGTAGACCTTGAAGGCATGCTTCATTCATTTGGCTCAACGTTTTATCGAGTAGTACTCTACAGATTCGTTCAGCAGTATCACATTGCCCGATCTGAGTCAATACCGAACTCAATCTCTCCCATCCTGCGGCATCTGGCTCGGTCTCTTCACGAATTTGCTTAGTAAGCAAAATTAGTTCTTCGTCATATTTATTAGCCAGCGACATTTCTGCTTCAAACGCTGTGTCATCCTCCTTCAGTGGTGTAATTCCATCTATACGGCAGATGCAATGCATCGAAAAAAGTACTTCGTCTTCGTCTTCAAACTGACTCAGGTGTTTGATCGAAGCAAACGATGTGCTCGAGTCATTAGGATAAACTTTCATCACAAACAGAACGCCTACCATATCATTGCTCTTTCCACCAGTTGAGGTAAACATGAGAGCAACGTCGCGGTTTCTACTTGTGGACAAAAAATTATTGAACGATATCAAACCACCCTTTAACTTGACCATTTCATCGAAATCTTTCTTTGTTAAAACTTGACCGCGGTAAACCGTAAAGCTTCGGTCAGCACAGGCGTTCCCATACTGTGTTTGATGCAGTTGTTCAATACCTCGATGAAGATCTTTGATGAAAAATCCCATCAATGTGATCACTTCACCATTCATCAATTGTAAAGCGCGATTCAGCGTACGGTACAGAAATGGCTCGATTGTATACCATCGTATGGCCCCATCCTTGTGATATTCATCTTCTAACTGCTTTACTTTTTTGTGATCGATCTTGTCGCCAATAGATGTATGGCAGCAATAATCCACAAATTCTTGCGTATGCTTATGTTCAAATTCGATGGTCAGTAGGATTTCTTTCATGATTTGTGTATACATGAATGTTGGATCTAGTTGATCTGGTTTTCTGCCTGACGGAATGAAACTGATCGGAATGTCGTCGAACTCATATAGTCGAGTGATCTGTCGGCAGATGCGCGTGATGTCGCTGCAAACACCTTTTACTTTGATCCATTGTTTTATTCGTTGCTCATATTGATCTTTACTATCGGAAAAGATGACGACTGAATCGATGTTTGGAATATCATGAATACATGGTATGATAAATTGTTCAACTGATTCCGAAATAATCAGATACACTTTGGTATCGAAATTGTCAACAATGAATTCTATGCATTGATCATTATCAGTGAACGTATTGATCTCAGGAAGAACGTATTCAAGTTGTGTAGTTGTGTCATAAGAGTCGTGGCTGTTGTTAGTAGAACTGTCCAACCACACAATAGCAATGTCTTGCATTTGCCAAATGTGATTGTGATCATATTCAGTCCCTTCATTAACACTTGCTGATTGCTGTTCATTTTTGTGCATGGTGCCCATTTTCACAGTTGTCATCAATTAAGAGCTTTTTTTTTTACGATGCAGATACAATAAATGCGAATCGTCTCAAGAGATTTTCTATGAAGAGAATAAAAAGTGTAACAGCGGACTGCTTTTATTGATGCAACTATCAAGATAAAGATTTTTTCCAACATAGATATTCATTCTCGAAAGATGAAGATAAGTATCAAGCTCGCAAACAATATGATTACGACGATATATTTTCGTGTAAGCTCATGTAGAGAGATATTAGCGCTTCTAGAAAAAGGATTCAGCACAACAACTCTTCTCCACTGTTATATGATAAGCAGACGAATAGATATCACTATCTCACAGTCAATGACAGAAAAGGCACGAGACAGACTATATTGAATGTCAGGAATACGACCAAAGTCTATTTATACAGAAATAACTTCTTAATTTCTGCTCGAAACGTTTTCGACACAACCAGATTTATGTAACAGCTAATTGATGGTGGAATATAATAAACTAAGGTCGATACATTTGTTAGAAACGAATCTAGTTGCATTTCATCGAAACTTTCGTTTTCAGACTGTGTGAGTTGCTTATAAATGCAAACAATCACAGGCGTCAAGTTGAACAGAATATAAACAGTGACATTGATAAGTAGAATTTTCATTAGTTGTCCATCTTTTTGACGTTTGGCACCTCCGACGGTGCTAGCAACTGTTGACACTGGAGCAATAGCGGCACGATGTGCAAGTCGAAAGCTTCGAATCGTATGAATTTCACAGATCAACATCAATATTGGTACGCAAAAGGTCTTCGATAATGCATAATAATTAGCAAATGCTAAATAAACATTTGAATCCGTGTAACAAACATTGTAGTTTGGCATAATTTGAATTGATTTGAAGAAGAACACTGCATGAATATGAAATAACATCCAGAATATTGTTCCAATGAGAATGCACGCATATGCGAGACGATGGTTGCTTAGCCGACGGATACGTGCATTTCGTGAAGTGGCGATCGATCGATCAATCGAAGCCAGAATGAGATAAAACGGACTAAGCACGTCCAGAACATAGCCAACATAATACATCAGACGACAATAAGTGGTACTGTATGTAGGAAGATTGCCGTTAAAACCAAATACTGATATTCCTTGGGAAAAACATGTTGAAATTTCAAGGAAATTAGCAAGATTATATGCGAGAAAATAGAACGAGCATGGGCTTTTGCGAAGATTTTTCTTTGAGAAAATCAGCAAGTTAAGGACACAACCAAGACTTCCCGCAACTGCTAGAAATGTACCACCGTACGCATACACATAAGTTTGTATCGATGTTAATTGTTGAACATAATCCATTTCGAATGAGTTCTCATTGAATACAAGTAAATTATATTTATGTTAGAGAAAAGTTTGTTTCAATTTGTCAGAAACATAAAATTTATCAATTTCTTGTCGTCAGCTACCTTTCAAAACCAGGTTGTTCTTCTAGATGAAAATGTATTTTAACAGAGGTCGACGGAAGGAACGCAATTCTGTAGGTACTCGTTTTCTGTTGATTCATTGTATAGAACAGATAATTTGACACTTTTTAAGGATGAAGATGATGAAGAACAAGAGCATTCTCACGAAAGCCTCACTCCTCCTCTCAAAATTCAACTGAAATAAATCATATACTTGTGCGTGACGCCTTTAATTCAAAATTACATCCAGCTCATCTACGTCATATATCTGGTTCACAAAAATAGCAGACGCACGTTGGCTGATGTTGAAGAGGCTCATCACGTCAGAGGATATTATCATACAGATAATCAAGCAAACCGATCTTATTCAATACATAGTGCAATTTGCAAAATACTTGATTTATTTTTATTGCATTCTTTCAAATGAATTCTCAGTACAATTAACTGTTCATATTGATTTTGGATAGATAGTTCTTTAGCCATGTGCCAGTATCTGGTCCAATCGTGTTCATCCATCGAATATTGGCTTTTATCTTTTCAACGGACGAAAGAAAAGCTCGTTCGGCAAGCGATAAATCATCTGTTTCCTCCATGAACATCTGCACAGCTTGCAAATCGTTCTCTGTATTCATATATTCCAGAACATTGCTGACAATATCTGACAGAGTAAAACTGATACTACCAAAGACGTGAACCAGTTCTTTCCATTGTTGACTAATAAACTTCCAAGCAAGTTTTTGTCCACCTGGTTGAAGACGAATATTATTGATGAATCTCGATGCGTCTTGAAGACGAATATAATCGTTCCCTAACGTTGTATTGAGTAATTCTTCCAAAAGAGTTTTATTTCGTGTACATGTTAGTGCATAACCATAACGATTCTTTTCCACTTGGTCATTACTTTCTTTATACAATGTTTTCATGTTTTCATAATCCTGAATAGTACCATTTTTAATACCTTGACAATATGTCACAGTTCGAATATCAGGAGTAATCGGATTAGCGGTGGAATTTGAACGCCATTGGTCGTATTTCTCAACCAAATCCTTAATACATCGATCATATCCGTTAGCACAAAGATCCGAGATGACCATAGCACGTAATTGTCGTGTAAAATAATCCAGTGATTGTAATTCTTGTTGCATAGAGAATATCGATGAATTATATTGTTTTTCTTCAAGTTTCTGAATGAATTTTTGCATGTTCTGATAGTCGACGCCATCCGGATTTTGACTAAACATTACTAATGGATAATAAATATTGATTGAGAACGTTCGAAAAGGCACGTAATCAGTTTCGTTAATTAAATAAGTCGCAAGCTTTAACGCAAAAGTAACGTTCAAGTCAGATGACCGAGCTAAATTGAATGTGTCGTCGATCATTTGTGCACGTGTTACGATAGAAAACGATGTACGATCAGTTGCTAATTGTTTAATAATCAATTCCCAATTGGCTTGATCGTAATTAACACGATAGAATCCGAACTCATCACTATTAAATACAATCCAATTATTATTCGATACAATATTCGGTAATATTCGAGTTTGATTTGGAGCGACCCATTGAATTGATGACGAGTTTGATGATGTCATGTAGTTAAATGGAATATACCATTGAAATGAATTGACATTGAGAGATGTTTGATTTAGTTCGTACGGATCAAGAAAGTACCGTTTTTGAGTAAGCACGATCGAATTATCGGTGCTGTTGCGTATAACCGTGAGGAGAGGANTATTATTCGATACAATATTCGGTAATATTCGAGTTTGATTTGGAGCGACCCATTGAATTGATGACGAGTTTGATGATGTCATGTAGTTAAATGGAATATACCATTGAAATGAATTGACATTGAGAGATGTTTGATTTAGTTCGTACGGATCAAGAAAGTACCGTTTTTGAGTAAGCACGATCGAATTATCGGTGCTGTTGCGTATAACCGTGAGGAGAGGATATCCTTCTTGAAGAGTCCACGTGTCCATAATTGTTTTTACAGAGTGATTATCAAGTAGAGATGGATTGATGGCAGCATTAAGGAAGGTCCATAGCTCGTCTTGAACGGCGTTACCATAACGAAAATGATTCAAGTAATCACTTACACCCTTGAAGAAAGTTGATTGACCGAGAACAGTGTAAAGCATTCGAAGAATCGATGCACCTTTGTTATCTAAAAAATTTAGCATGAGAAATTGAAAAAGAAGATCATTACAAATATTTTACATGAAATAGCATCGAAGATGGAATTGATTTCATCGGGATGAGTAACTTCTACGCTGATCGGATGAGTTGAATATAGACTATCCATAATCAGGACTGGATGAAGCACATCTGATTAAAGAAGAACAAAAAACAAAGCAATAGAAAATAGCTGTGCATTCTGCCTGCACTCAGAAAATTACCGCTAACAAATGTATCGAAAGATCGAAATTCAGGATTCGAATGATTCAAACCTAATACTTCAACCCACGAAGCAAAGCCTTCATTTAACCTTGAGAGAGAGAGAGAGAGAGAGAGAGAAAGTGATGTCAGATTGAATCGATATCATGATTTACTTACCAAATATCATTCCACCATTGTGGTGTGACAATATCTCCAAACCATTGATGGGCTAATTCATGTGCGACAACTTCGCCGACACGTTGTTTATTCGCTAGAGTGCCAGTTTTATTATTATAAAGCAGTGCTGTTTCACGATAGGTGATTAGACCCCAGTTTTCCATTCCACCTAGAAAAAAACCCTCAAATGACTAATTGATAATCAGTCAGGAAGTACATACCGATAGCGAAATCAGGTAATGCAAATTGATCGCATTTACTCAACGGATATGAAACATTGTAGGATAGTTCATAATATGGTATAACTTTAACACTAACTTCAAGAGCATAATTACCATCACCGTTGAGAATTGCATCAGGTCGTCCACAAATATTAACTGTAATATTATTGGGAGTTGTACCTGAGACACATTCGAAATCAGTCACAACAAATGCGACGAGATAAGTCGACATTGGCGGTGTATCTTCGAATTCAGATAATAAACGGCCATTAGG